CTGCGATGGTTTGGACATATCTTGAAAATGCTTCCAGAAAGAAAGGCGAAACAACTACTTCCGCAATCGACCAACAGAAGACCCCGGGGACGATCAAGAATAACCTGGAGAAAGAATATCGAAGGATTCTGCTCGGTTTATCTTCAACCGAAGCTTCAACGCTGGTAACACTGTAGAGCCTCTGCCGCCGCACCCGAAAGAACAAGTGGTCATCGAAACTTACTGAGTATCGCACTTACCAGCGACACTAGAATCTATCTCAGACGTGAACGCAAATGCCGTGTACTGGCTTTACCTTAACATCGTGCTGATGAAGTAGCGCCTGCGGGTGACGCGCTTCTCCCTTCGGTTCAGGAACTTGTCCACGCAGCCGCTTGTGATCAGTTCAGTCCAGTCGGCGTGCAGGCCGCAGTTCCATCCTGTCGAGAAGCGACTGAAGAGCCAGTGGCCACTACCCGACGGTCGCAGGCAAGTGCACCTCTTGCGCTTCGGCCAACACTGGCAAGGCTGTGGCAGATTTAGTTGCCGCACCAGATAGCGTTCAAACGTCGTGCCGGCGGTCTTTTGGATATGCAAGAACACGAGAACATCAGAACCGTTGATGTCGAACCGATATCGCTGACCGTCACTCATCATGTCGTCGAAAGACACGCACTGCAGCTGGGTTTCGCTGACCGACGGTGACCACAACGAGTAATTTCCCATGCCAACGGCCGCAAACTGCGGTGATTCGTACTCGCCGCCGTTGGGGTCTTCCACTTCTGTCCTTGCGCCCGTCTCCCTATCTATCGACATCAGACTGGAGGGCCCATAGCTTCGCGATGTAATATACAACGAACAGAACAATGCGAATACAATGATCACGTAAAAACTGTACCGTTTGCACCTGCTGTCGAAAACCGGAGCATATTTACAAAAAGAGCTCAACATCCGTAATCACACGGTATACCAGCCAGCTTGCAGCAACAGTAAGACTATTTACGAACCTGACCATCAGCCAACTTAATAATATACGGTATTTTTAGCGGCTCTATCATCGTTGCGCTCGCGTGGTCGTTGTTATCTGGGT